TTAATGATAATAATGATCCCCCAATTCCATAAAATATTTTTGTACGGTATGGAGTTGTTAGAATATTAAACTGCTTCGAAATTACTGCTTATTCAAATGTCTCTCAGAGGAATAATCAAAGGGAATAAGTAATGTGAATGGTGATAAAGGAGTAGTAATATAATAATATATGAGTGTAAACAAAGGTTAACTGTTCGTTTACTGTTTAAGAATTTAGTACACTCACTCTGTCATAACATTCCCTTCCTACACAAGGCGATTGGAAAATCGGGTACGGTAAACTTTTATATCTGGTTATGGTAGCATAAAATCCAATGAAATTTTATTTTATATTTCTTTAGAAGTAGGAGGTCTTTAACTGAGTTGACAAAGATTTAACTAGATGTTTGTACAAATTTAGGTATCTGCCAAAAGCAGTATTAGTTAGTTGCGTAATACAAGAATAACGTGACCTTCATGCATCCTCCAGAGTTCTACACAGTGCAGCACAGGGAAAAACAAAATAGGGTAGTTAGAACGAATAGGTGATATGCAAACATTCACAAATTACTAAGGAAAAAACTGCATAATATAAGCCTGCCTCAACCTTGTTATGTAATAAGTCAAACAAAGTATCTTTTAAAATTGACAAGATGCAAGACATCCAACAGAGACCGGAAGAAAAACGTATACCAAGGTAGATAATATTCAAATTATTCTGCAAACCTGTGACACCTGTGACATAAGATTCATCATACCTAAGCAGTTCAGAAAATTTTGGTTTTATGTGAAACTTAAATCATCTACCTAACTATTACAGATACTTAGTTTTAACCCGATTGATCAAGGTTACTCGCCGATTGTGGGCAAGGATATATATATATGAATGATCTGAATGTAAAAATAGCTGACTCGCAAACTGCGAGGTTGTCACTGGTAAAGCTATCTCTATCAGAGTAAAACCGGTAGGGAAGAAAATAAAGAGTGAAAGCACAATAACTGGAGACACATTAGCTTCAATAAGCATTAAAGCCTTTTTTGCCCTTTAAATACAATGAAATAGTCAACTGCTTATAATTAAAGGATCAATCAGTTTATGGCGTATGGCTCAGAATATGCTACAACAAGCCTGCTTATCATACGCAGAACAGTATTCCCATAGGACAGCTAAATAAGTTCTACTAAGGTCACGAATAGTAAAAAACACTGTGATACAAGAGAGTAACAGGATATAGGTTGCATCTTGTACATTTATAAGCAAATTATTCTGTAAATTGCTGAGGTAGGTTTAAGTAGAGATAATAAACTGTTGGCCATAAAAAGTGACATCAGGAAGGCTAAGTTTTAATATCTAACTTTTTGATTCATCTTATTCACTTGATTTAATATCCCCAGTATTCACTTAGATACTCTTATACTCCAAAAAGTTGTATTGTGAGACAGATGCAGTGTGCCATAATCTTTCGCATTATATTTATCTAGTTATATCAACCAGTAGGATGAAGCTAAGTGGCTTTAAGTTAAAAATGGTCCTTAAGGATCAATACAAATAGTATGTAAGCTGTGTAGTTAGGTAAAGTGTTTGTCATAAATCTAGCTGCTCTTCAGGTGATCTTTGTCTCTAATACAAACCCTACCCACGTTTTTGAAACCTTCGACCTTCTCATCACAAATTTCTACGGTCTTCAGTAAAATAGTGAACAAAGACAATGTAAGAAGGAAACAAAATAGTTTTCATGAATAGTTTTGACTTTTAATAATGAACTAATAGATAAAATGTTAACACCTTAGCCAGTAGCGAAAGTTTCAAACCAAAAATCAAGTGCCTTTGGTATAACTTTCAGTCACGACGAAAAAGTGATAACGCCAGCAATATAGTGTGTAGCAAGATAGAAATATTCCATAAATCACTTTAGTTGTGCCCAAAGGTAAATTAATTGATTCGCACTTCTAATAACAAAGTATTAAATTGAAAGGTAAAAAAGTAGTTTTAACTACAGATCTTCGGCAAATCTGTCTAAAATAAATCTTGAAATATAGCACACAATATACCACACTATAGTAATAATGACGCCTATGCGGCTGCTGAAGTTATGAGTGCGGAGGGGAACAGAGACTTGTATAATAAGTGGAAAAAATATACGTTTGGCAAATTGTGTGAGTCGCTTTATGTCATAATAAAGGGATATACTGAAAAAGTTGGATGGGCCAAAATGCGAGGGATATTACATTCCCGAAGATTAATTTATAAAAATAACTGCCTTTGTAATCTATTTATCATTCGTTTAACGCCAAATAATTATTCTACAATTTTTATTACTGATGAGAAACTAGGTTTTTCAACACATCACCCCTAAATATATTACTGGTGATTACCTTCCAAGGAATAGAAATAATAAAGAAACTAGTCTTGAAGCATGGAAAGCGATAAACCGTTTACACTTCATTTCGTCTTCTCAACTCCATGAATTTCAAGTCCATTACTAAATTTTTAATTCTTAAAAAATGTTTCATTCGCCCTTACTAAGAAAGTAAAGGTAAAGCAGGAAATATTGTAAAATATGCAGGATTAATATTTTACAAAACACTGAGATTTAACTGAATACCTTTGGCAATTTCATCATATGAATGGCATTGAGAAATATTTTAGGATAAAGAAAGACCTACAAAGTGCACATATGATGAATCTTATTAGTTTCCTAGAAGTGAAGTATTTATAATATATACTTGCTTATAAAAACTGCCACAAAGTTTAAAGCTGCTAGTGGTCCACAGACAGCACAGTGAAGTGAAACTTAAATGTTCATCACCATACATTTCATCGGTTTTGTCAAGAAATGAATCGTAATATGAGGTAAAATGTAGATGCATACAAATATCGGTGTCTGATGGGTTGAGTTTTATTAAATTCAAAGCTATACTGCAAAATTAGCCAGAAGAATGCCAACTTAAAGATAGGCCTTGTCCTATAACAAATAAATAAGATGACATGTTAATTTCTTATGCACTGATTCACAAACTTCTTTGAACGATTGTTAGCCAGAAAATGCTCGAATCAGTGAAAAGAATATAATATTAATTGCTGATTATTTAGAGATTCTTGGTCAATGGTTAAACTCTCTGTTGCTTGATCAATTATACCTCAGAAAAATCTTTCATTACTATCTTTCCGTGCAGTTTTGATAACCGAGCCAATCTGATAGTCACTGTTACCTATTTTTATTAAATATGCCAAATAATTCAACCTTTTGTTTCAAGCACTTCATAATGTAACCGAAGTTTTGTTTGCCACTGTATATAGACGCTCCTGAGCCCTACGTGCATCACTGAATATTAAAGCAATCAAAGTATGCACATAAGTGTGCACACATAGTTTTAGAAAAATTAAGTAACAAAGAGTCGTAATGACTTGGTATACATAATCTTCCATCTCCCATCAGGCTCTTAATACAGCATTTATTGTCCTCATTTTATCACTTACTCAGAGGAACAGCTGCATATTTCAAGACTGTAGTTCAGGAAATTGTCTTGAACGATGGCATCTTAATTTGATTCATTTGTGTGCAAACAGTTTAATTATAAAGGTTTACCAACTAGTGTGATATAAATAATAGCTGAATGTGAGCTTTTGAAATTTAAAAATACTTCCCATTCCAGATAGTCTCAGGATCGACAAAAATATATTCTTTTAAGTGCTTTCATTGTCCTGAATCACACGTATTTCTTAATATCCACATGACTGAATGTAGGCGATTTTGAATTACGTATGCTTACTTAATCAGAATCACCGGAATTTTGTAACTTCATGTTTTGCGTTTGCTGGACAAATACTCAGCTTTCTACCAACAACCATTGCTTTTTGAACTTCTGTGAGGACGATTACAGAATTTACCATTTTCTCAAACGCGGGATTTCCGGAAGTGAAAGTCATTCTAAAGGTCTTTAGCAGTCTAGTAATTGTTTTACTTCTGCACACCTCATGCCTCCATAAAGCAGTTATTCATATCTCTGACTAAAACACCTGATCAATACATTATGGAAAGTGAAAGTCAGTTTCACCCACACCTAAGATTTGAACAATTAAGGCCATCTGCAGTTAAAGTCCCACCCACTTTACTATTTGAAGCTGTCACCATAATTAAAGGTAGAATCTTTAGAATATTTTATAGGCTTCAACTGCATGTGATAGTATCATTATATGGGAATCTGATAAGTTTCTGCATATGGTCAAAAGCAGACTAAATAAAACCAAATAACCTTTAGCTGATGGGAGAAACATTTTTGGGGAATTGCATGGTATCATGAAATTATGCAAAAAATAAATATTTCAAGCCTATTAAAAGTTCTGTCCAAAGCAGTGAGCTTTATTTTTATTCTGCACTAAGTTTTACTGATGAATCCTTAAACTACTAAACAGAAGCATTTACGTCAATGCTTTCAACAGTCTTCAAACAGCTAACATCATATATTTATTAACATCTGTATGCACTTGGCTTCATAACATAGACAGAAAAAATGGCTCATGTGTATATTTAATCGTACATGGGGCAATGACTTCAAGAGTTCATTGGAAATATGCGAAAACCGATAGAGGCACATTACCCTATTTCGATATGTCATTCACTACTAAAGCATCCAACGTTTTCAAAATGATATTGTTAAGAAAGGGAGTGAGACATCCAGTTAAAATATCCGACATCCACCATCGTTTCTACCGTAAGACAAATTGATTTATTAGTAGTCGCTCCTTGGTAGTGGGGTAAGGGATTCTAATATGATTTGGTGAGGCAAGTTTAGGTATGTAATCAGCTTATTAGTCACTAGCATCCACCAAAACTTTTAGCAAACTTATGAGGCTTGAAGGTTAAAAATTCTTATTAGGACCTAAAGTTAGATTTCCCATAACAGAAAGATTATTTTCATCAACACTGTTTTTAGAAGAGTAATTCAAATAAAAAATACTTTTGAATTTTGGGTCAAAAACTGAATAAAATCAACCAAATATAAAGCGAAAAACTTACCGATTGGATCTACATGGTCGAAGTGATCTATAAAAGTCCTTCTATCCAAAAACAATGATAACTAAGCTAATAATAATTAGCTCACTTAGTGTTTACCTTTCCATCTGGTGTGGCCTTTTTTAAAACACTTAACAGTTTATAAATAAAAATATATTTATTTACTCGAAGTAACGTCCTTGGGACGACTCAGTTACCATCGTGGTGTCGACGCGATAACAGAGTCATTGCGTTATATTTCAAAACCCCACTTTATACTTCAAGGTTATTCTTATTTTTGTCCATTCTAACAAACAAAATAAAAGGTCGTCGGAAACATTAAGGTTAGATAAGTAAAAGAGCAGTTTTATGTTTTAAATCGATATTTTTATTAATTCTTTCTCGTCAGCTTTTATTAATTACAAGGCTGGACTTATCTGTCAGGTTGGTTGAATTCTAGCTTGATAAATATTTTCGTCAGTAAGTTTCAGTGAAATTGTGTTTTATATTTTATGGATTGATAGTAATTCTCATTTCCTGAATAGTAATCTTGGTGTCTGCATCATGTGATTCGACTGCGGCATATTGATTGCAATGACATGTGTTTCGGGTGGACTGTGTCAAAGTGTCACTATGTTAAGCAAGATTGGATAGTTGGGGGTTGATGTCATCTACCCAAATAGTTTACTTTATGTAGAAGCTGCACATTTCGGCATAGTATCACTCAATAAAGACTTCACGTCTCAGGATATCCACATGGTTATTTTTGTGTGAAGACCACTAGTATTTGACAAACGAATCCTATCAGTACATGGAAATCACCTATAAATGCTAACAGAACCCTGTGTGGGAACGGAAGATATTACGAAGAAGTGTCTTTCACCGTATGTGTAAGTTTTTGCGTTTGGACAGGAATTATCGTAAGTTGAGAGGTTATCTCTAAACGGATTTAATATATATTAACACTGACTGGTGCAGTGTAATATGGGTTACGTGGATTCAAAGTATGACAGATACCTCCACTTTATTAATATTAACAATAATAATAATAGTAACAGCTTTATTCCAAACGGTATTTCTGGTACAGGTATGGAATTTTCAGCGTCCATTACAGTATATTGCACCTAATTACCTCATAAATTATATAAGATTTTTAAAATCAAAAGATAAATAAATAAAAATCAAATGAATAAAAATAAAAAACAGCATAGAGTTTACATTTCGAACAATACCTCGCAGGATATGAAATATATAGTTAATGTGTGATAGAAGATGAAAACAACAGTGTAATAGTAACGAGGAAAGGAAAACAAAAACTAATGAGACTATTTGTTAGAGTGGCGCATTAAGTTGGTCGTGTCATACCTGACGGATTTCTCGTCACATAACAGCTGTGCCAGATATGGTATTGTGGAGTTTTCGTACTTGGTAGTGCTACCATATAGCCTCCTATAGCTGCTTCTAGTTCTACCACATGAAATGCAATGAGACAGCTGCGTATAGAAAGGATCCTCGGGGCCCGACAATATTGTATTCGCTAGTTTCTTACATGACATTATATGTCTATCCACAAAAGTGTTAACCAGTTGGGTTAACAATATCCCACTTTACCTGCTTACGGCTTTTGGTGCCTTTCTCAGCGAAGCAAAGTCTTTCTTAAGTAGTCCAGGAAAGATTAATGGGGAACAGTAAAGGGGGATGGGTAGAATACAAGAATTGACAAACTGCTTTATGCCAGATTGCCTAAATTTCCTAATGTAGAACGTTAAGCGAAACATCTTTCTAGTAGCTAGAAACATGTGGGAGGACCAGGAAAGATCGGTGGAAAAACTCAGCCCAAGGTACTTGACATCAGATGTATTTTCAACCACTGTGCCGTCAATGATAGTTGGGCTGTCAATGTAGTTGAAGATTGAACGATCAATTCATTGTTGTTTGCTCAAAATCAACTTCCCCAATTTTCGCGGAGGCATCAATACGACAGTCATCGTCTCATCGGTCACTGTTCAGAAAGAAGTCAGCAATAAACCGTCAGAAGTAATCTTGTGATTTATTATTGTAATATTTGTTCACAGACCTTAGTAGAAATATTTTTTATATGTTGGTGTTACAATAAAGAATCCTCGAGTCAACAATTGGTGTTTTGGTTTTTGCGTCCGTTATTACTAAGCGTTTCTGAAAAACTTCAAGGAACAGCGTGAGCCCGAGTGCAGCAAGAGCTGGGCATTAACGGTTTACGAGACGTGATTGACAGTTTCTGACGGTGGAAACAGATTCTGGCGGATTCAGACAGTCGGTGACAGTTTGGATAGTCACCGTTCATCTTTCCTGGTGCCGGTCAAGTCCTCTTTGAACAAGCAATATCTGGAACGTTTTTGGAATTGGGCCAAGTTCAACAATGCCTGGGTCAAAGAAGGGACAGAGTGTCTTGGATGCAAACAGGAAGGTAAGTCATGGTGACTTGTCTGTTACTTGTAACGATGTGTCTGATGTTAAGCATGACATGGTTGATGTTACTGTTTCGCCGTTCAGGGATAATAGGAACATCAAACTCCCTAAATTTGAACCGCGATGTTTTGATGGAAACCCGGCTGATTATTTACAATTTGTAAAGGAGTTTGAGATCATGCTGAGTAGTTTTTTATTAAGTGATGAATTGAAATTGATGTATTTGATGAGGTATTGCACTGGAGATGCTTCAAGAGCTATACAGTGCTGTGAGCTCATGCCCCCTAATGAGGGATACGCTGAGGCTATGAGCATATTACGTCAAAGGTTTGGAAGACCTTCAATGATTGTAAGGAACGTATACGAAGCTGTCAAAGGTAACGGCAGTCAGCTTCAAGATGACTCCAAGGCACTTACTGAGTTTTTAGATAATCTTATGACTTATAAGAATACCTTGATTTCGATGAATTGCATGAGTGACCTCAACTCGAGTTTTATACTAGAAGTAATAGCAAGACGTCTACCTACTCGACTGCAAAGGAAGTGGGTGAAGATAAGCTCCCGTATGGAGGATGAGGGTATCGAGCCAAAATTTGATGATATCCTGAAACTGGTAAAAGATAGTGTCAATCAATCTATGAGCAAGTTTGCCAGTATATTGAATCTCACCACTAGAATAGAGCAGTCTGAGGGAAAAACGCACTCATTGATGACGAATAAGCCTCAGAGAGGTGGATATCGAGAAGGCTCCATGATGTCTAGTAATGCATATAAACTTAGTGAGTGCAACAGGTTTCGTAGTACATCCTCAACAGATAAGTTACAAGATGCAAGACAAACACGGTTGTGTTTCACACGTTTGCAAGAAGTGCATACAGAAGTGAACTGTGAACCAGTAAGCAAGTTCAGTGATAAGCTCAATGTAAACTCCAGGCCTGACTCCGAATTGTGTGACGATAACGGTGCGGTGAAGAAGTCTGTAGTTGCAACTGGTAAGCCATTGTTGAATAGAGTGTCACAGAATAGAGTTACTGCTTCAGAGTCCAGTTCTGACCCTACAAGTTTACAAGGTATTACTAGTCAGAGTGAAGCTATAAAACCTTTTAGGATTTGCGAGGAGGAACCAAAATTGTCTACTTCTGTTAATAAAGAGTTTGAAAATGATGAAGTTGACGGTAAATTGAATATTCGTGATAATGATCATGATAGTGCAGATTTGTCTTTGGTTGATCATGATGAGATGAGGGATATGCCTACTACTGCTAAGTTGAACGAAGGTTCTGTACAACTTGAACGTGAAGTAGAATTAAATGCAGATGCAGTTGCAGAAGGCATGGATACTTGTCAAACCGTCAGTGTAATTGATCAGAGTGTAGCCCACCTATCATCAGATGCTAGTGCTAAACCTGAGCTGATAGTAAAAGACAGCAGTGGTGGTGGTCTTGCAGGTAGACAAATTTCTGAAAGTCGAGCAACAACAGCTTCTGATCCACCGCTAACTTCATCAACTGATATCAATCAGTCGTCGTTGGTGCTGTCATCCACAATGAAACAGACACCCATCAACTCAAGTATCTTGTGCAATGACTGTGATAGTATTGGTGCGTTTGAAAGGACAAATATCAATGGTCAGTTTAGTGAGGATAAGCCAAGTGTAAACGAGAGAGTAATTGTTAAATTGACTTGCATGAATAAAGGCATTTCTAGTTTCAAGTTACTATTTGAATGTTATTATCTTTGGTGTAAATTACTCTGTTTCTACACTTGGTTGATGAGATATGTCGTGTGTTTGTTCGTCATCTATATTCTACGATACAATGACATGAGCGTGTTACCGTTCAGATTTGAGGATATAGCTGATAGAAGGAAGTCAGCAAATGAACTCTGAAACGATTTTCCAACCTAGAGCGTCAACCTGAGAAGGGTTGTAGGCGTACTGCTGTAAGTCCTACAATTCTTCAAAGGGTAGCGCATCAATGAGCAGCCCAATGTGCTCGGTGTGTGATTTTGTACATATGTTCATATTGCATATACTGAATTGATATCATCTTTCATCTATCTGTTGGTAATTCTGTTTGTGTCCGGACGACTTCCACTTGGATCATCAACCTGAGAAGGAATGTAGGCGTACTGCTGTAAGTCCTACAGTTCTTCAAGGGTAGTTTGCCGTGCCAGAATACACAACATTTGATGTGTTGATTGTACATATGTTTGTGTTAAATAATTGTGTGAGTTCCAATTATTGTAATTGTTGGTTAATCTTGTTTGTGTCCGGACATTCCACAAATTACAATCGTCAACCTGAGAAGGGTTGTAGGCGTACTGGTGTAAGTCCTGAAATTCTTCAAAGGAATTCCACCAAGACACGATCTGCGAGTTTGTTTGTACTGTTTGTATATACGTGTGGTGTGTCATATCAATTGGTGTATTTTGGATTCATTGTGTTTACTTGTTGTTTTCGTATCTTGTTGTTATTGCGTAATTTTGTTAAAATTTTCGTCGTGATTACTTCTGAAGTTGTTTCGAGTCTTCTACATCCATGAATGAATTGATTGATGTTAAGGACAGCAGATGGGTCGTATACGCCGGGGAGGCTATTGCTGAGAATGAAATGCACACGGAGATAATTGTTAGCTGCGGTCCGACACGCCGGGAGAAAGAGTGTAAACGGCTGAGGCTCGCATACATCACCGTTACTAGAACTGAGGCAGAATGAGTGACAAGCGATTTCAGTGGTAATTGGTAGTGAGTAGATAAGAGGATGTGCGTAGAGTATCATGAGTTGGTGCTATGGTCACGTTGCATTCTGCAAGAGTCATTCT